CATGTCTATTTTCCTAAATATTAATTAGTTTAACTAAAAGATAAAAAACAACTCAAAGTCAAATATTTAGAAAAAAAGAAAAGAAAATATGAGTGTTTTATAATTAGGTTTTCAAATTTATTAATAATAACAAATAGATACTTAATTTTCAAAGTATTTACACATCGTATTTACGTCGTGTTTCGAAAATAGAAACGACGTTTCCATTGCGTTTCCAAAATAGAAAGTATGTTTCCATCGCGTTTCCAAATTAAGAATTTTAAGAAACGCGTTTCCATCGCGTTTCTCCGCGTTTCCATCACGTTTCAGTTTCCGAAACGAGAAACGGATTTTGGTCGGAATTTCCATGCAACCTAGGTTCTAAGGATGGTAAATGGGTCAGCCCGGTAATGCGGATCACCTGGATACTGGTTCGGTTATTTTTAACGTGGCTCATGAGACTTGGTATGTGTTTCTTGGCAACGAGATTGATCTCTTTGTTGCGAAATTGCATATGTACCCACCATCAAGAAATTTCCTCTGCCCTTCCTTCTTTTTTCGTTATTAGGATACAACTTTCACAAATATATTGTTCCCACACATGGTCATAAAGAATATCAATGGTTGCTCGAGTATAGTGGAGCTTCCATCTTCTATTGGAAATGATATTAAAGTCCAGCATTTGACTCTGAGTGGTTGCTCGAGTTTAGTGGAGCTTCCATCTTTTACTGGTAATGTAACTAGTCTTGAAATTTTGGATCTTAGTGGTTGCTCAAGTCTAGTGGAGCTCCCATCTTTCTATTGGGAATGCTACTAAACTCGACCACTTGAATCTCAAGGGTTGCTCAAGACTAGTGAAACTCCCATCTTCTATTGGAAATATAACTAGTCTCTGGAATTTAGATGGTTGCTCGAGTCTGGTGAAGCTACCTTCTTCTATTGGAAATCTTCATAAGTTGTCGTTCTTGCGTTTAAAAGGTTGCTCAAAGCTTAAAAGGTTGCTCAAAGCCAGAGGCCATTCCGATCAACATCAATATGGAATCTCTTCATCTACTTGATATCACTGATTGTTTGTTGTTGAAAAATTTTCTTGAGATTTCCACAAACATGAATTTCCCGGGCTCACCGAAACTGCAATAGAAGAAGTTCCTTCTTCATCAATCAGGTCATGTCATTATCATGACTTGTGTATCTCATACTGGGAAAACCTCGAAGAATTCTCGCATGCTTTTAAATACTTCAGAGAGCTGCACTTGAGTGATACAAGAATACAAGAAATTGCTCCATGGATCAAAGAATTATCTCGTCTACAAAAGCTTGTAATCAAGGGATGCACAAAGCTGCTTTCGCTCCCACAGCTTCCATGCTCCTTAGAATTCCTAGATGCAGAAAAATTGTGAGTCCTTAGAGAGACTAGATTGCTCTTTTCATAATATTAAGTTTATCGGCCTCAACTTTGGTAACTGCGTCAAACTGAATCAAGAAGCAAGAGACCTCATCATCATCAAGACATCGAGTTGTAATGATGTAATCTTACCTGGAGAAAAAGTGCCAACACACTACACTTACCGAGCCACTGGGAGTTCCGTTTCCACCAAACTGAACGGAACTGATACGCATTTTCCTAGATTCTTGAGCTTTAAGGCTTGCTTCTTGCTGGTTAATAAGGGTGAGGTTGAGGTTCGCAACTGGACCAATGTTGACGTAACTTATCGCATCACGCAAAAACAGAATGGTGTCGATGTTGAGCAACCATTAAATTGTCTGTACCTATCTATCAAGCTTAGTGTTATGGCTGCTATTGATCCGTGCTTCAAAAAGATGCAGATACAAACCCACTGTGTTGCTTTTGTTCAAAAAGATGTTGATGTGAAACAATGAAATCAGCTCAAAACCAAGAAACCTTTTTTTGAATGATATAGCAGCAATGCATGGACAGAAGATTCCTCTTAAGGGCAATACTGTTTGGTGGAGTGCATAGACAGAGCATCATCACCAGTAACCTTTGCAGGAACATATTCCACTTTTAAAATGATGGAAACGACTCGAGTCCCTCAATATAATCTCATGATCAATAATTCTGGACATGTATGTGAATGCCGTATGGCAATCGCCACATACCCGTAAATTCTTAGTAATCCGGATAGCTGCACCTTCAGGAGTTGTTAGAATACCGAATGCAAGAGCTAACTTCTCACTGTGCTCAAAAAGAAGATCACCTTTCTCTTCATCGTCTACATCATGAAGAGCAAAGTCTGTTTCAGGAACATAACCAATGTCCTTGATGCGCTGAATATGATCTGAGAGGACCTGGTATATTTCTTTAAAACGTGGATGAGTTTTATCACCCACAAAGAACGTAGTGGTTCCTTTAATTCCTTCGACCCAACTACAACCAGGTCTTTTTTTAATTCCTTTGTGTTTCATCAAAGATCTGATCCTAGCCACATCTTTCCAACGCCTTGCATTTGCATATAAATTTGAGAGCAGCGTATATGATCCATCGTTATTAGATGCTAGCTCTGTTATCTTTTTAGCGGCATACTCCCCAAGTTCAACTTTTCCGTGGATTCTACAGCAACTGAGCAAAGCAACCCATACCACAGGAGGAGGCTCCATTCGCATTTCTTCAATGAGACTCAAAGCTGCATTCAACCGGCCAGCACGACCTAACAAGTCAACCATGCAGGCATAATGCTCTGGGCCAGGACTAATCCCAAAATCAGTTTTCATTCTATTGAAATACTCCATGCCCTGATCGATCATTCCCGAGTGGCTGCAAGCATACAATACAACGAGTAATGTAACACCATCAAGCTCAAAACCCATTTTCCACATCTCATCAAAGATTCCAAGAGCTTCTTCTCCATAGCCATGCATACCGTAACCCGTCATTAGAGATGTCCAAGTAACTTCATTTCTCTCTGTCATGTTGTCAAATACAAGCCGGCCATCACCGATGTCTCCACATTTTGCATACATGTCTATTAGGCAGTTTGATACAAACAGCGGTACTGAATTCTGCTGGTTGCGCAAAACATAAGCATGGATTTGCTTGCCAATTCTTAATGCAGCCAAACTGGCACATGCCACGAGGGCACATGATATGGTAAAAGCATTTGGTCTTGTTCGGTAATCTTGGGTGAACATCTCAGAGAAAAGCTCGAGAGCTTTATTTGAATCACCATGCTGGGAGTATCCACCGATCATCACAGTCCAAGTCACAACATCCCTTTCCTTGGGGGAAAGTGATTCAAACATAGCGCGCGCAATATCAACTTTTTTGCACTTAGAGTACATGTCAATCAGTTGATTGATGACCATATTATCATCACCATGAACGTTTTTGCGCAAATCTATAGGATGTTTGATGGCATAACAATGAATCTCTTTACCATGCATCAATGCTCCAACAGAAGCACAACCTGAAAGAACCGAAATAAGCGTGACTTCATTTGGTTTTATTCCGGAAGATAACATCTGCCTAAACACACCCAATGCTTCGTATCCGAGGCCCCGTTGAGCATACCCTGAAATAGCAGCACTCCAAGTAACAACATCCATTTTTATCTTTTCTTTCGGCATCTTCTCAAAAAGCTTAACAGCATCATCAAACCTTCCAATCTGTGAATACCCAGCTACCATGGCATTCCAGGACACTACATCCTTTACTGACATGTACGAAAACACTGTGTTTGCCTCATCCATCATCCCACACTTTGCATACAGATCCACCAAGCAGTTTCCTACATACATGTTCTGTATCATCTCACTAGTGATCGCAAAACCATGCAATTGCTTCCCTAGTGAATGAGCACCAAGAGAAGCACAAGGAGGAATAACATTCACAAGGGTAATATCATCAGGCTTGAATCCAAACTCATTGGTCATCCTGCTAAACAATTCAAGCGCCATCTTAGGTCTCCCTAACTTTGCATAACTTTCTATTATCGTGTTCCATGACACAACATCCCAAACACCTTCAACCGACATTTCGTCGAACACCTTCCGCGCATCACCCAACAAACCACAACGAGCATACATAGAGACAAGCGCATTACCCACAAAGACATTGGAATTAAATCCTGTAACCCGGGAAAGCGACTGAGCAGAGGCTCCAGAACTCAAGGAGGAAGTCTCGCCGCAAGCCTTGAAGACGAAGGGGAATGTGTAATTGTCTGGCGTCCATGACAGAGAATGCATAAGGCGGAATACAGAGACAACTTCACTGACGCGGCCATTGTCGCCGTAGAAACGAATGAGAGAATTCCAGTGGTAGACACCATCGTCGGAGGGAGGAAAGCTACGGAGGAGAGATACAGCAGCAGATGAGCAACCGAGTGAGATGTAGGTGGAGATGAGGTGAGAAGTGCGATTCAGGGTTAGGATTCCAAAGGAGAGGAGTTTCCCGTGAATGAGCTTGACCTGCGAAATGGTCTTGCATTTGTGAATGAACGGCGGCGTTATCTCCGGCGGCGATGTGGAGAAGAGAGAGACTTTAAGGTACTGGTGGGAGGATTTCGCGGCGGCGTTGGAGATGAGAAGGCGGCGGATCATGCTAGAGTTACTGGTAGGTGACTGACTGACTTGTAATTATAATACATGGCGGGTTAATTTCTGCGTTTAAACGGTACATCATCCGTAATCGGTTAGGTTAGGTTCGATTCGGTTAATCAAATTCTTATCGGTTTGAAATTTTTTGGTTTCGTCTCAGTTTGTAACCCTGCTAGTAAATCGATTTTAAGAAAGCAATGAAACCCAATGTACCGATTAAATTATAAGCAAGTTTCGGTTCGGTTCGGTTCGATTATACTCGATTAATGTGCTTACCGATTCTGCGTTTGCGGTTGGTTGGACGCTTCAGCTGGCGTTTGTGGATTCTGCTTTGATAAATTTCAAAAAAATCTAAAATTCGGATTTCATATTTCCGAGAACTCAGAACTTTTAATCTCCCGCCTCCTTCACATCATCGGAACTCCATTTTTCGAAGCTCGTTCCTGGAAAATCCGGAGGAAGGCGAAATGCCGCGTAAACCTAGACGCAATGTGCCGGAGATTCTATGGAGGTTATTCGGAAAGAAAGCAAGGAATTTAAAAGACACAATAGTAGATCTGATTCCTGATCGGAATATCCAGCCGGAGAAATGTCGGTGCCGGAGCAAAGGTTGCCTCCGATGCAGCCGCGATAAACCGTCGTTTCTGTTGCGTCCCGATGATCCCAGTCACTACCGTAAACTTGTTCACAGATGCTTCGTCGTACTTCACGAACAGACTCCTCCGCTTCTGGATTTTTCGCCAGCATCTTGGTGGTCACAGAGAGAGGTACGATTAGGATTATACCTCTCACTGTACTACGCATTGCTTTGAATTATTAATTTGATAGATTTCAAGCCGTAGCTACTTGTAAGAATGTTAATGGATCTATTTATCTTATATTTTGTTATGATGTTTTTTTGTTTTCAGATTCTTGAAAGGATTATTGAAATTATGAAATCTGGACGTGGTTGTCAAAATGTGATATGTGCCAGATATGACAAGGTGAACGAACTCTTGTCTTCTTTCTTGTGCATCATTTCGCATAAAGATGCGCATTGGTCATCAAGCTCATATGTGAAACTGGCAGAACTAATTAATAGCTTTTATCTCTTTGACAGTATGATCAGTCGAGTCCTATGCTGGAGTTATTGACAAGTTCGTCTTGGGAGTTTCTTCTCAACCGGGTTTGTTTGACAACACTTTTGATGATTAACTTCCAATCTTCGAGTTTGGGGTCGTTAATGTTCATGTTCTCTTGGTTGTATGTAGGTCGGTCATGATTTGATGGTTTATCTTCTACAGCACACATCAATATTCTTACCATGGCTAGGAAAGAAACACCAGCAAGTGTCTGGACCTCCTCTAGATATCAATCAAAAGGGTAAGTCTCAGTATTAATTTTGTATCGTAATTTAAAAGGAAAAATCTAAATATATGCTCTAAGAACCACAATCATATCTCTTCGGCTGGCGTTCTTTCAAAGCTTCCGCTGGTTGGTTCTTTGATATGTTGTGATTTCTCTTTGTGATTTTCTAGGCCATCTAATATCAGCTTCTGGTTTTTACTACATTTTAACTTAGTTAAGTCTCCATTCTTCATGGTACAGAGACATTGTCAGTCCACGAAAACAAAAGAAAGAGGAATGACAATGTGCTGCCATCAGAGAAAAGGCAGCGGCTTTCTTCAGCTGTCAATGACTGTCCTAAGGATAACTCTGCAGCTGTTACGTCCATAGTTCCTATGGAAGTAGGCCAACGTAGAGGGGAAAAACCTAGCAAGCGTTCAAGATTGTACCTTAAGCGCCGGCGAAAGCAGAGACAGGTCAATTTCCAAAAAGTTGACAATGTTGCACCTTGTATAACTTCTTGTACAAATGGTAAAGCCTCAACTAAGAACGGAGCTGATGAAAGGAATCGTCACATCAGTATAAATGGAAGTCTCACTGAATTTCCAAAGCAGGTAATTGATTTGCTCAAGCAAGTTTAAGTTGCAAATGCATGATTTTCTATATACAGACGTTTAATTTCACATTGTTCTTGTAGATGCCATTGTAATGCTTAAATTTTCTAAAGTAACGATTGCTCTTGATTTTTCCCTAGTGTCAAGAAATTGACGGGGAAATTTTGGTAGTTTAACTTGATCCTGACACTTTATCATCCTGTATTTGGTAGTTTAAATTGACGGGGAAATTTTAAAAACTGTATCATCCTGACACTTTCTTAGCTTCAAATTTGACAACCTGTTCTTGACTTCGGTAGATGTAATCACTGCTTTTTGTAGGCTAAACAGGTAAACAGAAAGCAACATTTCAAGTTCAAATACTCAGAAACGTCTTCAATTATACCACCAAAGCGTATCCTTTAGCGGTTTTAACATTTTCAATTGCTTGTAGCGTCAATAACTTGATAGAATGTTAAATGTGCTCTTCTATATACAGTTCTTCTGCATTGTTTATGATTCCTTATGATATACAGACATATTAAGAACCTCAAGGGCCAACTGCTCTGATTCAAGGCTCCTAATGAACCATATATTTGGTGAAGTAAATGCTTGGTCAACAGCTCCATCTCATGGCAAAGGCAATTGTCCCAGTGGATCTATATGCTTGTAAGTCATACATTTATTCCCCTAAGCTCTGTGGCTTTTCATACCTTAACACGCGTTCTTGTTTTCTTAAGAGTACATTTTCAAGAGTCAAAATTGGCTTGCAGGAACAAAGTTGATTTCCGCTTTTTATCATGAAAAGAAAAATGATTTCTTAATATTATTGAAGAAACGAGTGAGAACCAAAATTAATATCGTTTTGGATAATTCCTAACTGGGATTTTAAATTGTCTGAATAGGAAAATGCATCTAGTTCTATATCATTTTAGTTTTAGTTCATTACAAAAGGATCCCTAACTGGGATCAATCAGTTATTCCAAAATATTATAATGTGTCAAGAAAACTAAACTTATTCTGAAACTTGCAGCATGTATTCAGATAAGAAAATATCTCTAGTAGTCTGAGTCACTGACTGAAGGTCTTAAGTTATTATAATGTAACTAATGGCGGGAAGGAAATAATATCATAATGTTTTTTCCATTGTTCCGCAGATACCATTCATTGCTCAAGTCTTTTAAAAGTCTACTAGGAAAAACAAAGTCCTCACATTTGAAAACGTTACTAGATAAACACTGTCCTGTTCGCTTGCTACAAGAGGATGCATTGAAGTCCGCAAATGTGACTTCCCAGGTAGATATATTTCCCTCAGGAACTGTTTTCATATTAAATTTGTTTTAAGCATACATATCCGTGGCACTTCGAACTGATCCTTGGATCGACAAACTTCGCATATCTTCTTTTACAGAGTTCCTTGGATCTACATCATGGATCAAGTTCAGAAGGCAAAACCAAATGTCCTAGTGTTGAAGAAACGAGGCTGTATTGCACGAATAACCAAGTAGTTTCCTTTATTTGGGCCATCTGTAAGTACATCATTCCAGAAAGTTTGCTTGGGACCACTCATCAGATGAGGGTTCTTAGGAGAAACATAGCCTGGTTTATTTCTAGGCGAAGAAATGAGAAATGCACAGTGAAGCAATTTTTGCATAGAGTGAAACCATCAGATTTCCCATTCTTCGCCAAAAAACAGTTATGCTGTATGGCCAAAGGACATGGACTCCAAAATGAGTCAATGAGAAGTACACAACAGATGCTATGCACGAAATGGATTTCTTGGATTTTCTTAGAGATTGTCAGGAAATTGGTGCTCTTCAACTTCTATGTCACCGAAAGCCAAGAAGGGCGGCTAAACGTTTTTTACTACCGAAAATGCAACTGGGAACGGTTAATAAGCAAAGAAATCAGCAAAATTCTTGATGGATATGTCCAAGTGGACAATGCTGAAGCTGAAAGTAGAAGGAGAAAAATGGCGTTATCGAAGTTTAGACTTTTACCAAAAGCAAATGGTGTAAGGATGGTGTTAGATTTTAGTTCCTCGTCAAGGTTGCAATCTCTGCGTGATACACATGCTGTATTGAAGGACATTCAGCTCAAAGAACCAGAGGTCCTTGGGTCCTCTGTCTTTGACCATGATGATTTCTACAGAAATCTAGGCAGATATCTGATCCACTTGAGGAGTCAATCTAGAGAAGTTCCTCCTTTGTTCTTTGTGGTTGCAGATGTGTTCAAAGCATTTGATTCAATCGACCAGAGTAAGCTGCTTCGTGTCATGCAATGTATCCTGAAAGATGAATATATCTTAAACAGATGTAGGTTGGTCTGCTGTGGAAAGAGATCACGTTGGGTAAACAACGTACTAGTCTCGAGTGATAAAAATGCTACCTTTTCAAGATTCACATCAACTGTTCCATATAATGCTCTGCAAAGTATCATAGTTGATCAGGTATGTTTCTTCTTGCTAAGCTAAACTCTTTATTCTTGATCTTCTAATACTTTTGATAACCCTCATAGCTTCCCCTTTGTTATTTACTCATTTCTTTAATGGTGTTATTGGTCCAATGTTTTAGGGAGAAAACCATGTATTAAGGAAAAAGGATGTGATGCATTGGATAGAAAATATGCTAAAGAACAACATGCTGCAGTTGGATAAAAGCTTCTATGTAAAAATAGCTGGGATACCTCAGGGACACAGGTTATCACCTTTGTTATGTTGTTTCTACTACGGGCATCTTGAGAGGACTTTGATCTATCCATTCCTCGAGAAAGCCTCTAGAGATGCATCAGCTAAAGAATGCAATAGAGAGAAAGAGCAAATTACTCCCCCGAGCTATAAGTTACTGAGATTTACCGATGACTACCTCTTTGTCTCTACTTCGAAAGATCAGGCAGCTAGCTTCTATCACAGGTTGAAGCATGGATTTCCAGATTACAAGTGCTTCATGAACGAAAAGAAATTTTGCATAAATTTCGAAGATGAAGGAGAGTCTAGGTGTTCTTCTAACAAGATGTATGTGGGTGATAATGGAGTTCCTTTCATCAGATGGACGGGTTTGCTTATTAATTCCCGCACATTCGAAATTCAAGTTGACTACACAAGGTCTGCCTCATCTCTTGCTTTTTCCCTCATAAGTATTCTTGTTTGGTTCTGTTTCCTCAACTTTATTGCTAGTAGTCGTTTGTTCGAGTCTAATATTACCACTCAAATTCATGGAAACAGGTACTTGAGTGGCCATATAAGCTCAACCTTTTCAGTAGCCTGGCAGAACAAACCAGTTAAAAACCTTGGGAGAAAAATGTGTTACTTCTTGGTTCCCAAATGCCATCCCGTTCTCTTCGACTCGAACATCAACTCTGGAGAAATTGTCAGGTTAAACATCTATCAGATCTTTTTGTTAGCTGCAATGAAGTTTCACTGTTATGTCTACGAATTGTCCCGGTTTTGGAAGCTTCATCCTCAAACGTTGTCCAAATTTATCACAAGATCTATCAGGTATGAAAGAAAAACTATATTATTTGGTTTCATTTCAATTCGCGTTTTTGGGGTTTTGGGACTTAGTTTGGTTTGGAGAGAGTATAGACTTTAGTTTACTTTTGATTTCGGTTCTACCAAATTTGGTTGGGTTATATAATGTAGTGTTGTTGAATTCCTTGCAACTGATAGGTACATGTTCAGACACATGACTCGAAGGATGAACAAAATCAACACTGGTTCTAGTTTCAGACCAGTTCTTAAAGTGAACAAAGAAGAAGTGACATGGCTTGGATTACACGCTTTTATTCAAGTTCTGAAGAAGAAAAACTCACGATATCGAACACTCTTGATCTCTTTGAAATCTGCATTTTCGAAACACAATCTTTCTCATCTATCACCGGAATTGTACTATGCAACGGATCGGTCAAACTCTTCTTCGCTGTGGAAATTGAAGTACTGATCCTTTTATCATACTCTGTTGGGCTACGTTTTTCGTATATCTAGAACATAGAATTAAGTCACTTATATCAAAAACATTAACCTAATTTTAAATTGTATTTTTTTTTGTCTTCAGTAAGTTGAATTCTATGTTTAAAAGTTAAATATTGAAGATATCTTAGTTATAAGAAAACACAAACTAGTAGTATAGAAGATCCAGCCATTGCTTTTATGTTGCACCTAAAACCAAATTCCCAACTTTCTTATCAAAGAAAGAGATAGAAAAAAAAACGAAACCTTCTTCATGGAATGATATTAGTTCTTCGAGTATTCAGACGAATGAATTGGAGCATACCCTTCTGGTGGAGGTTGCTGCTGCGACTGTGGTGCTTCTGGCGGTTGCTCGGCCTCAACCTTTTCTTTCGTCTTCTGTCCAACCTCACCAGCCGCTTTAGCCACTCTGTTGAACGCTCCTGCGGCCCAAGTCACACCGGTTAACACGTAACGGTTCTTCATCACGGCAGTTCCTGCGCTGCTCACGGTCTGTTCTGCAGCAGCGAAAGCAGACTTGGTCCTCTCTGTTACCTGGAAGCTTTGGTCCACCTCCTTGATCTTTTCGTTCACCAAGCTTGTACCAGCTGTGATTTTTTGGCTTAGACCTATCTTTTGGTCTAGTGAAGCAACTCCAGCGGTTGCGGTTGCAACTCCTGCGGATGCAGTTGAAGTGAAACCGTGTTTCTCATCGAAAGCTTTTGCTTTGCCAACTGCATCTTTCCCAAGAATGAATCCCTTTGCTAGCATGCTGCTCACAACATCTTCTGCCTTCTGGACAACACCTTCTGCTGCACCCCCGCTCTGAGTTTCCTGAGTAAATTAGCATCAAATCATAAACCTCTGATTGCTATTTAAATTCTCTATTTTCCCTGTTGATATGAATACTATTAACAACCTGACTCGATATATCTACCAATCACAGATTTTTATAGGTATACATTTTGCAACTTAGTACAACTAATCAATGCTTTATAAGTAATCAAACATCAAAGGGCAATGGTATATATAGATATGTTCAAGATGAAAGATATTACAGCATGAGGGGCTGCAGGTGGACTGTAGTTAGGAGCCATCTCAATGATGACTGATTGATCTGCAATACTCGCTCCCTGAAAAAACATCCCTTCGTGTTAGTATGATGACTCCATTATTTTAGTAATAAATACACTATTTTTACATGTAATCCTCACTATAGATAAGTGAAAGTAACTATGAGTATTTCCTACCATATCGACGGATTACATGCTGACAAGAAATCATGGATTGGTTACGAAACTAAGAGTCATAATGAACTTAGCATATATGTATAAGCTGAATGCTACAAATAATATCATGATAAGAGGAAGAATGTTTTAGGGGAATAAAAGTGAACCCACTGATAAGAGCACAGCAGTCTCTGCTCCTTGAGGATCCTTGAACGTGACATAAGCACTATGCTCGTTACTGCTAGTTAGAACATGAAAGCAAAAAAAGAAGATCAGAGTCAATTACATTAAGAGAACCGTATCTAAATTTTCTGAGAAATCTTCAATCCTTTCAAATAATCCGAGAGTTAATCGATCAAAAAGCTTTTGATTTAACAGTCGCGGATCTCAAAGAACGATCAAGAAACAATAATGGAAAATAAAAGCTATTGGCAATCACTAACCCTTGGATGTCGATGCTTTCAACTTCACCAGAAAAAGAGAAGAATTCTTTTATATCATGCTCTGTTGCTCCTGAGGAGAGATTGCTAACTTTTACTGACCTCATCTGTCAACACAAAGAATTAAAGGGATAGAATCATTAATGAAAACAATAAAATAGGTGTTTGATGAAATATTTTGCTGTACAACTACTTTTGTATTCAAGCACATCTAATCCACCAAAAGTTCCATTTAATGACAAAAAAACGCATACAATTTTAATCAAGCCAGGTCAAAGAAGCCTAGATTCTCACAAGATTATACAAAACACATTGATATATGGATCAAAACTTGCGGGCTAAAAGTTGACTGTCATCTTTTCATTATACAAAACAAAATCAGAGAACAAAATCGTAACGAGTTGAACCATTCAGAAATGAACCATGATTCAGGGGAAGCAAAACATTCTAAATCAGATGATTTGCTTCTAAAACCAACTGACTGTAAACACAAATAAATGATAGTTAACTGCTTCTCTCAACATTGTTCCATTCCCATCGTTCACTAATTTCGACAAAAACTTCACAAATACGCAAAGGAACCAAAATCAATTAATAGACTCGCTGGAACGAACCATGATCTGTATGCTTAATCTATATTCATCACTATATAACACTTTACCACTCAGGGCCTTGAAGCGAACAATTACGAAACCAATCAAAGATTCAAAGCATGGCTCGAGGAATTTAAATCTAGTTTCAATTTGACTACTACACAAGCGCGATTTACTACAATAACAACCAAAACCTAGAATATCACCGGAGATGAAAATTCCACGGCTGAAATAGAAATTGATTGCTAGATTTCTGAAAAAAAAAAAACAAAATCCAGAGCTGCATATACTGATCAACACCGAGACACGGAATCAATTCGATTCCAACAAACAAAAATAGCGACGGATTAGAACAAATAGCAAACAATCAAACTCGTCCAAATAGCATCGGAGATAATAGAAGCTTCACAGAATAATAGATATAATCCAAATCCCCGAAGAAGAAATCAAAATCAATAACCGATCATTCCAATTATCATCAAACATTATCACGAGAAACAAAATGCGAAAGGAAAAAGCAATATAGACAATGGATGTAGAACAAACCGCCATGGATTCTGATCTTCGTATTCGCGAAGAGATGTGTGATTGCTTGAAGATTCAGAGATTGGCCCTAAAACCGAAAGGGAAATTTGGAAATCGAATTGATGCGT